TTTTAGTCAATTAACAACAAAGGAAAATAAATTCCAGCACACCTTTGAAAGAACAGGATTGCTAGTGAGGAAAGAGTTGAAAATTTATATTAATCTTGTCATTCAAGCTCCCAAGTTATACAACACTATCTCCTTAAAGCCAGTACTAGAAACTTGTATTATTAACTTTACACCACTTGTATCAAGTAAGTCTTGACTGTGGACAACAGGGAGAACATATTGGTATAGATAAGGACAGAAAATATCAAAAGGAAATGAAGCTCGTTTGGATGCTCAAATGGCCTGGAAACTTAAAGGCAAATGAAAAAGATGGAAATAGTGTGTTCCTTAGTACTGTAAAATTTTATTGATCTTCAATTAAAGGATTTCCCTTTAGAAATAGGTATTGAAACCATGTAGGTGAGTATGAGTAGGAAAGTTAAAAAGTTGAAGGTGATAGAACATTAGTAGATAGACATAGAAACTGGATGTGGCAGGAAACTCCAAGGTTGGGAGTATTCATTTTTATCTTTACATGAACTTTTGGCCCTGAGTTAATTTTGACCAATTAATCTTTAATGCAAGTATCAAAACAAGAATAGAAGCAGATTTATATTCTGGTTTTTAAAAACCAACTATATATTTCGGATTCCTTGGGTGTATACATATACTTCTCACCACCTGGATAAAGGAAGAAAATACGGCCTCTACGGGAATTTGAAGAATAGGTATTGAGAGAGTACTGAGGAAGTTGGAAGAGAAACCTATGTCAGCTGATGTATAACTCTGAATTTATGTTGAGAGTTTTGCTCACAAATCAGTTCTCAATAAATAGAAAGGGGTTAGCATTAGTGTTGCTGTTTTGCTGTGGTGGTGGTTTTTGTTTTTGTTGCTGAAATCTCTCTTTTTACACAAAATTTTATTCTAGTTGTGTGCCCATCAAATCGTCTTTAATTGACCCTACAAATAAATATGGGGAGGGTGGTAATGGAACAAGAAATGTGTACAAATATGTATAGTGAATAAACCAACTCAGTAGTCTCAGTTTTAAGGCCAATTTAAGAACATAACAGATATTGACTAAATTCAATTAAAATAAAATCCTTCATGCAGTAGAATCCAAACGTGGCCCAGAACCTGTCTTCTGAAATCAGAAAGGAAGAAATGGACAATTGGATGTTAAATTGAAGTTGACACTAGAATATCTTGGTACCTCTGCACCAGTACTCAGTGGTTTGCTGCTTGATGCAGATGCTGACTGTATCACCACATGGAGGAATGGATCATTGCTGGTATCTCATATCGTCCTCACCATCTGTTGAAGCAAAGTTGGTATCATGGCTGGCATCAGACCAGAGCGTGGGGCAGACAGAGGCACAACTACACTGGTATATTCAGAGACTCTTCCCTAGCTGTGCTATCACCACTATTTGAAAACTGAAGTTCTAGAAAGCTTCCAGATTCAACACATGCAAAAGACTCCACAGTGTGTTTGAAAGTTATTATGATGCCAGTAAGGGAGAGAGAAAGGTAGGCAAGCCAACACACTGAAAATTACTCACAGATTCCTCTATTGTCCATAAGGACATCACTTTGTCCATTCATACTGTAACGTCAGAATCATAAGCTACTTCCTGAAGATATATGCATTTGATAACTGAGTACAAATGTGATATTAAGTGGAAAAGTCTCCAGATTACTCACAGTCTCCTTGTAGAGATATCTCTAGAGTATGGTACACTAGATTCCTATGACTTTCAGGACAACAGGTGCAGTAACACAGAAAGAAAATGGTAATAGGGAAATAAAGCAGCCTGGTAATTACATTATGTGGTAACCCACATAATGTAATATGTGGAGATGGCTTCATTACTACTAACCAATCTCCTGGTCAAAGCCAATAGGAAGCTGCAACTATTGTGTTACTTAAGACTTGTCTTGGTATACTTTACCTGTGTACACATATGGTACTTTTTATTCTGTAGGCAGAAGTAAAGAAAAGAGAGAGAAAAGTCTCTAGATCAATCTAGATCTACCTTAGAATATTCCCTCCAGGAAGAAGCAGTTGGTCCTAACCAAGGGTGTAACACACAGCCTGTCAGCTGAGCAATACAAACTTTTCAAAGGTGTTATAGGCAACTAAGTTAGATAAAATATTATAGTCAGTCAGATAGGGGTAGGCCCTCGAAGGAGCCAGTGTAGAAGATGAGACACCTTACAGCTGTGGGGGAAACAGGGACCTCTATTGTGGACCAGACCTCAAGATAAAGTTAAAACAAATGCACCCACATGCTTTCTGAGGATAAACATCAGGGATTGATACTCTAAATAGGTATCCATCA